TATTGCCCGAAACACTTCAGAATTCATCCTGCTGCTTTTGTCAGCAGTCACATCATCAAAAAAAACAAGAGAACCAGTTCCATTGGCAGCCAATGTACAGCACTGGATGCTCCTTCCCCTCCACCACCTGGGACAACATGGCCCCCTGTCCGATGTATCTGTCTGTAAAACAAAGGGAAGAGAAATCAGGAGAATGTAAGAGTGGCCAACCAGAAAGTGACGCTTTTACTTGAATAAAGGCCCACTGGCATGGATACACCCACTGGCCCAGATCTGGCACCCTGTTTTGAGTGAGATCAGTCAGAGGGCTGGTGACAAAAATGATAGAATGATATGATAAAAGCCAGCCAGCCCCAGAAATGATCTCACCTCCTTTTTGGTTTTGGATCTCGGGCAGGCCACAATCAATACTGTCTTATCAATTTGGGGATGCACTTGCCCATGACCCAAGTGGTAGCCCAGATACCATACTTCCACCCGACCAGTCACCCGACAGACCTCAGATGTTGAAGGTGCTACTTCCGGTCATTACTATCAGTCATAATGTCATCTAAATAGGCTGTAGCATAGGCAGCTTGTGGTTGGAGGATTCTGTGCATTCTGTGCATTGAAATGTGGCCAGAGATCTGAATAACCCATAGGGAGAGTGACAAATTGGTATAACCCAAGCAGAGTGGAAAAGGTCTTTTTGTCACAGGACATTGGAGTGAAGGGGATCTGCCAATATCCCTTGTCAAATCCAGTGTTGAATAAAACCAAAGCCACACCTAAACAATCCGGCTGCATACAACCAACCCCAAGGCATCTCAATGTAGTGTTCAATGAGATTAGTATGACCAGCTAGAAGCAAAAACACTCTGGAAATCTCTGCTTGCCATTTGGCAACCTCTGTGATTTAGGATGGTGAGAGATGATGCCTTACAGAAAGAATTAACTAGTGAACACATGGTCTTTGGTTATACCATACATTATAGCCTCTAAGGTGAAAGCATAAAGTTCTCCAGAGGGCACATGATGGTCTTTATTTATAAACAAAAAAAGTATTTTAACCAAAGTGAATAGCGTATCTGGAACAAAAATAAAACGAAGAGGAAATAATGGGCAACCTTGTCTTATCCCGCAGCCAATCAAAACTATTTGTGATGTCTGTGATGTTCATATCTCTATAAATCATTAAAATAACATTAACAAATCTTTCACCAAAACCGAAAAGTTCTAAAGCTTTAAAAAGAAATCCCAAAGTCAAAGGCCTTCTTAAAGTCCAAGAATAGAATATAACCATCATCCTCTATCAAGTGACTGTACTCCACCAAATCCATAACCAATTTTATGTTATTATGAATAGATCTCCCTTTAAAGAATCCTGTTTGTGACTTATTAATTACATTATTTTTGGCATTTTTTAATCTATTTACAAAAATACGTGTAAAAACTTTATAATCATTTTTGAGCAATGTAATTGGGCGAAGATTAATTAGTGAATTTCCCCACTGTGGGATCAATAAAGTTTATCTTATCTTATCTTATCTTAACTACATATCTTGAGTCTTTATTTGGTTTAGGAATGAAAGTAATCAAGCCCTGACTCAAGGTGGGGGCTAAAGATCCATCTTTAATAGTCTCAACAAATGCATTAAAAAAACAACACTTTAAGATCACTCCAGAAAAATCTGTAAGAACTAGCTGTGAGACAGGGCCAGGAGACTTGTTTAGCTTTAAGATTTTGAACCGTTAAGTCAAGTTCTTCAATCCGTAACCCATCATTGCAGCAATCTCAAATTCATTGTTAATGTGGGGGATAACATTTATTATCTTTTCACACAAGTTATTACAATCTAATTAGAGAAATTAGAAGAGTATAAGTCACTGTATAAGTGATGGATTTACTTGCTTATTAATTTAGGGTCTGTGATTTTAGCACCATTCACCATTAATGAAAGGATAGCATTTTTAGATTGTCGTCTTTTTTTATCTACAGGAATAAGGCATACTTTTTTCACCCTCTTCTATCTATTTAGCTTTTGATTGTATATACACACAAATTTTAATTTTTAGATACTCCATCTGGCTTTATGAGATCTCTCATTTTATCACAAAATCCCTCATTATTGAGGAGATCAGAATTAAACTTCCAATAGCCCTTATTTTGTGGAGAGTTACAATTTGGTTTAACTAGTAAAGCAATGGCACTATGATCTGTTAAAGGCGCTGCAAAGATCTGCAATCTTTTACAAACGAAAAAAAATGATCTGAAATAAGCCAATAATCAATTCTTGATTTGTTGGATGCATTAGGTCTTAGCCAAGAAAACTGTCTGAGATCAGGATTAAGACATCTCCACACATCTGTCAGCTACATCTGGTTATTGCGTAGCCAAGCTACAGAGACATTGTGAAATCTAATATTTGAATAATTAATACACTACACTCATAAACTGTCTTTTGGAGCATGCACACAATGAGGAAAAAGGACACAAAGCCTGTGCATGAAGCTAGATGCTACAAACTCCGAGTTTCAGGTTGACAAAACCAGATATATCCTAATTCCCCATGGGAAACTGCTTGTGACATTTGGGTTACATGAGCTTTTTACATCCCTCGCTTGCTGGGAAAATGGGAATGGCTGGTTTTCCAAAAGTCAAAATGATTGCAGATATTTCCTGTCGAATTTGTGATTCTGCCCACTCTGATGTAAAAGATATTTTCCCAATGAAGCCTGCTTCTGCCAGTCTTGTCCTAGATTCTCCTCTAGCTATGGACACAGCTGAAGCGGAAGACGAAGGTAAACATACAACATCCTTTGTGTATGTTTTGCATGGTCTTGGTCTGCCATGTGATCTTTCAAAATTCCATAGAGGAAGATAGGGAAGTGCCACCTAAAAAAAGGGAAAAAACAAATATGCCAGAGGCTGTTCATATAGAAAATAAGTGTTACGTTCTCACTGTAATACCTTAATTCCATGTAAATTTTTTTCCTCATTACCAAACAAAACATATCTAGCTACAATAATTTAAAAACATAATTTCACCACCAAATATTATCAAGTCAGCAGCAATGGAATCATGCAAGTTAAGCCCATTTTGCTGCAGTTGCAGTGTTTCGTTACGAAACTAGGTAGGACACGGTATATGAAGTGTTATAGCATTAACTTTGATTAAATGAGATTCGCCCATTGTTGCCAACTTTAGTGTCTTTTCAGACCCGTTTAGTGTCTTTTATTCAAAAAAGCACCTAGTGACAACTCTAGCAACTTTCTCTCTGAGTGATCATGTTACATGTAAATATAGTCAAAATCACAGCACATCCATTGTCTTTAACTTATGTGTATGGTGATTTTATCAGAAAACATTGCGATTATAAAATCAGGATTTTAACAGTGCAGAGCAGCAGCTTGGAAATGGCTTGGAAGTGACTGCTAGTCAACATGTAGTCTATGGGCCGCATTTTAGTCACTATTTCATACTCGATACATTGTCTGACAACAGAAACAGAAAAAGGTTTTCTGAATAAAGACAGTTTTAATTACACTTGTCTACTGACATACTTCATTTTGTTGTTGTTCCTCTTTTGGCTGCTCCCATTAGGGGTTGCCACAGCAGATCATTGGTCTGCATATTTGATTTGGCACAGTTTTTATGCCAGATGCCCTTCCTGGTGTAACTCTCCCCAATTTTATCCGGGCTTGGGACCGGCAATGAGAGTGTACTGTTGCACTCTGGCCAGGAATCGAACCCAGGCTGCAGCATTGAGGGTGCTGCGGCCTAACCACTAGTCCTCCAGGGACCCACATACTTCATTTGGTAATTAACATTAGTGTTTGAATATCATATATACACTGATCAGCCATAACATTAAAACCAACTGCCTAATACTACGTAGTTCAAACTTCTGTTGCCAAAACAGCTCTGACCCATTGAGGCATGGACTCCACAAGACCTCTGAAGGTGTTCTGTGGTATCTGGCACCAAGACCTTAGCAGCAGATCCTTTAAGTTGCGAGGTGGGGCCTCCATAGATCAGACTTGTTTAGTTCAGTTTGTTCCAGCACCTCCCACAGTTGCTTGATCAGATTGAGATCTGGGGAATTTGGAGGCCAAATCAACACATTGAACTCTTTGCCTTGTTCCTCAAACCATTCCTGAACAATTTTTGCAGTGAGGCAGGGTGCATTATCCTGCTGAAAGAGCCCACTGCCATTAAGGAATACCATTGCCATGCCCAGGTGGGCTAGCACCATTGAGCCTTGGGCATCCATGACCCTGTCGCCAGTTCGCCAGTTCCGGTTCACTTCTGGGAACACCCCACAAGACCTGCAGTTTTGGAGATCCTCTGACCCAGTCTTCTAGCCAACACAATTTGGCCCTTTTCAAAGTCGCTCAGATGATTACGCTTGCCCATTTTTCCTGCTTCCAACACATCAACTTCAAGAACTGACTGCTCACTTGCTGCCTAATATATCCCAACCCTTGTTATTCACTTCACCTGTCAGTGGTTTTAATGTTATGGATGATTGGTGTGTATATATATATCACAGTATTTAACAAGGAAATTTAAAAATGCCACTTCATGGCCAAAAGGTTGCATAGAGGTGTATAGAGGCAATTGGACTTGGGGGAGGGTGCACATAAAAAAGTTTGTCCCGCCGTTTATGATCCATTGTTCAATTCGATTTTGCAGTGAAATATTTATTACTTTTACCACCCTCAAATATTAAGAGGTTAATCCATTAACATACACAGAATGAGGGAACTCAATTATACATATTTCCATCTCTTCTAAGTCCTAGACTGCACACGTAAATAAACATGACCTTAAATGAATAATACAGTAAGTCAAATTTAAAAGAACACTTACTGGTTGGATTGGAGTTGAAGTCGCCCTGGATGTTGAAGGTCCTGCTTCTCTGAAGCCTCTTAATGAGGCTATTACTGCCTGCTCTGTGGTACCTGACAGATCCTTCAGGACCACCATGTTGAGTATTCATATCTATGATGTCGAGTATTGTCTGTCCAAGGTGAATATGTTTGGTGAAAACAATACAAAACATATCACCACACACCTCATACCACTCTTTACAGGGTGCTGAAGTGTCAATACCCTATGTAGTGCACTTATATAGGTAATAACTAAATAAACTGGCAAAATATCTATGGATATCTACAGATTTTTAGAACCAATACAATTATTATGAAAAAAAAGATCCTACAACTTCCTACAAACTATCCTAATTAGTACACAGTCAAGTCACTCAAGTGTGTATCCTAACTTTGGTATAATGCACTATAGGACATAGTACATTATACCAAAGTTAGGATACACACTTGAGTGACTTGACTGTGTACTAATTAGGACAGTTTGTAGGAAGTTTTATTACAATTTGTCTGTTGTTTACATTCTGACTGAGGAAGGAAAATAAAACATTAACTTCTTTGTAGTGATTTCAGAGTTTCTGTACAGTCACTAGATTTTTTTCCCCTTCATTTGAATGATCCGTAACTAATCCTAAAATAGCCGACAGCGTTCTCCTCTTCTTACAGCTGCTATTTTTGGAAAGACCAGTCGCTAAGGGAAAAAAAACAGCACAAAACCTCAGGAGCCAACTGACTTTTTTAAAGTCCCGTAAAACGTGAAAAGAAAAAAAAAAACCGTTGAAAAGAAGCGTGCGCAGGAAAAGTACAAGAAGGCCGCAGCGGGCAAAGTTCCGATCCGCGGTGTCGCCTGCGCGACTGAACCGACCGGCGAACTACTGAACCCGCAGAGGAACATTAGCATGGCCCGGTGGGTTAGCGAGTGAGCAGAAACAGAAAATAATAATAAGAAGAAGAATAAAAAATTAAACCAACAAGTGTGGCGAGTAGAAATGGAGTAAAAAAAACAATTTAGTACTGTAATTAAAGTATTTGTACTTTTATCTGCACTTTATTCTTTATGTAACAAACTTTTTGTCAGTAGGAGCTCTGAGTATTTACTGATATATTGATTTCTGACAGAAATAGACTGAAACTTGAAACAAATATCTGCCACATGCCTCTAAATTCAGTCACAAATCTATACTATAGACTATGTATATCATGTTTACTTTTATACTTTAGTAATGCGTTAAAACATTAACTTATACAAATATTCTTTGGGGGCAGGTGGCCACCCTCAAAGTAAGACTTTTCACCCCAGGTGCCACCCCAAACTCTGACGTCACATCTCTGATGTGCAGTTTGTACAGGTTAATTACTGGGTCTCTAAATACGTAATAAACCCACTGCTTTCAGTATGCCCTTATTGATTTTCCCGCATGTACCAGTACCAGTTAAAAATTTTGACGTGACTGATTTGAACGTCTTTTTCATTATCTTAGTTTAAAGCAAATTTTCTAACTGTCTAGCAAGATAAAGTAACAAAGTGACAAACAGGTCATTGACCACAGATTGTCCATGGTATTCATGTCTAATTTATCAACTGTGCTCATAATATATCTGCATTCTAAATATATGATCTAATCAAACTATATTGAAACATATAATAGAGTCTATCTTGTCTGATCTAGTCTCTGTACATCCCTCTGTCCAGTCCTGCTGCACTTGAGCATTATAAGGCCGGCATGTTGCTGAGCGGAGTTGGAGATGCTCTGGGTTACAGGAATCAGCTGTGGGAATACAACCAGTCCGGCCCAGCCATCCATCAGGTCAGTTTCCTAAACGGATTATTGTACATTATAAGTGCACACTGATGTCTTGCTCCTTCGTTACGTCTCATTAATACACTTTCTCTATATGGACATATTGCACATTTTTAAACACATTACTTTGATTATTTTTGCTGTTTTCTCAAAATGGAGCACATACCATGCACAGAGCTATGCTGAATTACAACACAATCAGGTTCTAATTCTAAACTAAGCCTTTCATTAGTGCATTCTGTGTAATGTTATATTTCAGACACCACTGCAGTTTACCAAATTCAGGAGATGTAGTCGAAAGTGCACATCTCAGGGTCAACCAAATAAAGAAATGGTAGCAGATGTTTGTGGTTTTTGGTTTAGTTTTGTTCGTATACTGTATTTTACTATTTTCATGAGCGCAAAAGCCCATTCTACACAAACACTTTAAGAGCATTTAATAATCTGACAAGTTAAAGGTGCATTAGGAATGATTTGTGGAAAAATAGGTCTCTAATGGTTAAATGGGTGGAGTTGAATAAGATTTGAATGATTTTTTTTTACTCACTGAGTCTGCCTACATTTCCACCCATGTACACAAACCTTGGCCCCAAAACTTACGGTGATGCAACTAGATTTAGCATGCTAACTAGTGTTACCATTAGCAAGGACTGTCCTAATATTACCTTCAAGCGCCATCAGACATTCAAATGCTTGAAATTACAACTCATAACTTATAAACATGCAAAATTCTCCTCAAAATGATTTGAGAGAATGTGAAGGGGAGTTGGGGGCGTGTCTATAAAATGACTGCCAAGTGGCCAATCCAAATACAGTATGTGTTCTGAGACAACGGCTTAAATTAGTCAGGTCCGGAAGTATTTGGACAATGACAGAGTTTTTGTGATTTTGCCTTTATACACCACCACAATGGATTTGAAATAAAACAATCAAGATGTGATTGAAGTGTAGACTTTCAGCTTTATATTAAGAGGTTCCACAAAATAAATGTAAATGTAACCATAATTTTAATACTTGGATGAAAATCCTTTGCAGTCAATGACTGCCTGAAGTCTAGAGCCCATGTTCTCAAAACTCAAATTCTGAGTTTCCTCCCTGGAGATGCTTTGCCAGGCTTCACTGCAGCCACCTTCAGTTGCTGCTTGTTTGTGGGTCTTTCTGCCTTCGGTCTTGTCTTCAGTAAGTGAAAAGCAGCTCTATTGGGTTGAGATCAGGCGACTGACTTGGCCATTGAAGAATATTCCATTTCTTTGCCTTCAAAAAGTCTTGCGTTGCTTTCGCAGTATGTTTAGGGTCATTATCCACCTGCACTGTGAAGCGGCGTCCTATCAGTTTTGTAGCATTTGGCTGAATGGGAGCAGCGAGTATAGCCCTATACACCTCAGAATTCATCTTGCTACTTCTGTCAGCAGTCACATCATCAATAAACACCAGTGAGCCCGTTCCACTGGCAGCCATACATGCCCATGCCATAACACTGCCTCCACCATGTTTGACACATGATGTGGTATATTTTGAATCATGAGCTGTTCCTTTCTTTCACCATACTTTTCTCTTCCCATCATTCTGGTACAAGTTAATCTTGGTTTCATCAGTCCAAAGAATCTTATTCCAGAACGTGGGAGGCTTTTTTTTTAGATGTTTTCTGGCGAAGTCTAATCTGGCTTTCCTGTTCTTGAATGTTACCAGTGGTTTGCACCTTGTTGTAAACCCTCTGTATTTACATTCATGAACGAGTCTCTTGATTGTAGATTTTGACAATGATACGCCTACCTTCTCCAGAGTATTGTTGACTTCTGTTATAGATTTATGTTGTTTTTTGAGCCTAATGATGGCCTCCTTCACTTGCATGGAGATCTCCCTGGACTTCATAATGGTAGCTCCAGTCGAACAGCTGCCAAATGCCAACTCAGTACCTGATATCAACTCCAGACCTTTTATCTGCTTCATTTGTCTTGAACTAACAAGGGAATGGACCGCACCTGGTCAGTTAACTTCTTGTCAGTCAATTGTCCAAATACCTTTGAGCCCCTGACAATGGAAGTACTTTGCTTAAAATGGCTGTAATTTCTAAATGGTAAATGCCATATTTTTGTGGAACCTCTTAAAAT